GGGGCGGGAGGGGAGAGCATTAAACCTTTTTCCCACAGTACTCTAGGGAAGGGACTGTGGTCTCCCAGTGCACCCCTGAGGTCAATTCTGTACCCTGGGCCGGGTCTCTCCCCACCAGGTGCACACACAGGGCATGGACTCCAGTCTGGAGAAAGTCTGGCCCCCCTGAAAACCCCGGTCTTCAAATCCTAAGGCTGTTTGCAAAGTAGAAACTGCAAAGTACAAACTCCTGATTTCTTCTTCCCCAGTCTGTGGTTCAGAGAGCTGTTTCTCTTTTCCAAATATTATTAATACCACACTTTCACAGCCTCTATTTCTCTTCCTTTTGTCTTTCCACGGAAGGGTTCCCCTCCTCTCTGTGCCTATGGGGCCCAGCACTTTATCTCTACCAATTTGTAAACATCCACCTGTGTCTCACCAAGCTGTCTCCATCCACCTGTGGAGACTTCTCTGTCACTCTGCAGACTGTATTCCTGGGTATTCTAAGTGTTCTGACCTCAATACAGCTGTGTTTGAGGGACAAGGGAAATCCCAGTCCCCCTACTTCTCCACCATCTTAACTCCTCCTGACGTCCTCATTTTCATTTATATTATTTAAACAAGTGTTTAGTAAGTACCTAGAAATTGGACAATTCCCGTGCCTACAAAAATGATAATTCTTGGTTTATATCCTCTAGGAATACACAATCAAATGAAAAGAGATATGTCGAAGTACTGCCTCTTTTTTTTTTTTTCATTTTATTTTCTCAATATCCCTGTGAGATAGTGAAAATGAGAACTATTATTTATTCTCCTTCTGGAGGTGGGGATATTTTGCCCAAGGCAGACAAACTGATTTGCCATAAGTTATATGACTAGGAGGTATCAGATATTTTGACCAAGGTAATCAGAATTTTGATTTCTATACTGTTAGTATGTGTAAACTGTTTTGTGTGTATGTATTATAGGTAATGTGTTGATGGCAAGTTCTCAACCAGAGGGCTTGATTGTTTGATTGTTGCCCTCTTGGCATGATTAGAATATGAAAACAACCCAAACTCTCATGTTAATCCTATGACCAAAAGAATGGTATCCAGTTACTGAGTGCTATGTCCTCTATAGGGACAGAGATAACAATATGAAGCCATTAGATTTTATGATAGAATTGTTAATCTAGGTAGAGTTTCCAAAATTGTTCGGTATTGTCAGATATTAGCCAGTTGATGGAATTTATTCATAACTTTTTGGTATACTTGTGTCCTGACCTGTGTATAAATGAATGTGTGGCACAGAAATAGTCCATTTATATAATATATAACCTCTCTCTTTCTCTTATTCCATAAGCATTTATATGCATACGAAATTTTCTATTTGCTTTGTACCTGTCTCAAGGTTCACATATTATTTTAAGTTAGTAGGTTACTCATTTGAAGTGAATCAATAATATATCTGCTTGGTATACTTCAAAATTTCAGCTCCAGGCTTTGTAAGTGTGTTCCTTCTTTGTAATAGAAGAAATTTTATAAAAGATGTCTGAGTTTCTCTGAAATATGTTTATTTTGGTGGATGTTAATGAGAGGTAATATTTTTATTTTGTCTCTTTAAAATCTGTGCATGTTAAACAGCCAATCAGGGCATTTGAGGTAAGAGAGTAAGAAAGGGTAAATTTCACCTCCACATGATTGACGTTTCTGGAGAACCTTTCTCTATATAGCAGCTGTTTCAGTCTAGTTCAGAAGATGAAAGATGATGATACAGTGGTGGCTGATTAACTCAGAGGTGCTGAGTGTGGAGAACCAGCCCTGCTTTCTTCAGTCAGATCATGTTTTGTCTTTCAATGTGCTTGCTGCCTCTTATGTACTTCCTTGGCCTCTGGGCTTTCTTTTATTCTGTCCTTCATCCTAAGATGTCTCTTTACTACATTTACCATGCCAGAACTCAGTCTGTTTTGGCTCCTAATGACAGTCTCAGCTCTGAGATAGAAGGTTTCCTGATTCCTTAAGCATTTCTTTGAGTTCTTTTTCTAGTACAAAACCATGGTAAAGAATTGTAGCATATCTCTGAGGCACTTTATCTTCTTTAATGAATTTCTCCTCACTGGATAACGTAGACTGTAACGGAAGTATTATTTTTAGATATCCAAGGCAAATTTTGGGAGACAAATTATATTTTGTCAATAAAGAGTAAAACCTGTAATCTAATACAGACTACACAGATTTCTTGATCCAAGAACATTTCTCTTGATCTTCTCCGTGTGATATTTAAAAGTCATGCAAGGCACATGGTAGACTCCCAGTGATTCTCCTTGTCTGGTTTTCTGCATAGCATAGGAATGAAATCAGTTTTTTTTCCTCCATTTTTTCCCTTATCACTGGTTTCTGTCTTAACATGAAATTGGTTTTGCAGAGACCCCAAGAACCTCACCTTTCTGGAGATGTAGTCATGGTCCATCCCATAGAGTTTGGGAAGAGCAGGCATATCCTCAGGGGTATGGTTGTGGCTGTGAAGTAATATCTCTAAAATGATTACTCAGAAGACAGAGATGTATGAAGATAATGCATGCTCTTTAATGTGAAAAATGTAGAGACTAAAATTCTTTGGATCAAGTCAGGAATATCATACTGTTATTTAAGTGGCACAAATTAGTTGTCTTATCTGCCTGCATTAGTGAATAAAATTGACCATTTGTTCTTTCATAATTTTCAAAAGTATTTATTGAACTACTATGAGTCAAGCATTATGCTAGATGCTTGGAACACATACTGTGTGGTGAATTCTGACCAGTAGGTGTCCCTCTTACTATTTTATTCTACCTCAGTGCCATCATTTGGTTATTTTAGTGTATTTTACTGAAATACACTTTACAAAAGAGGGTCAGGAATTACCCATAAATCAACATATTCTGACATGAAAAATTAAGAGACTGAAGGAAGCTCTAGATAACAAGCTGATGTCTTACTACTTTGTAGAGCATCAGGATGTCAAAATCCTCAGTTACCACTTGAAAGCACCTTAAACCATCCCATTAGAAGTGATAGCTTATCAGATCTAGGAAGAAAATCTTATGGAAGTTACTCAGAGTAAGATAAAAACATCATTACAAACCTGATTATTTGTATGGCTGGTGAGGGAGGTCACTTTCATCGTGTCCCCTGTAGTCCAGGATGTGGATCTGCAGGAAGCAGGCCTAGGACAGGTCCAAAACTGCCTGTACTCCCAGGAAGAACAGGTCTCTTAAGACCAATTCGTGCTTACCAAATCATAAGATATGATGCACTCTCTAGGATGCCAATTGATTGATTTAAAGCAAGAGATTTGCCAAGTGACCAGTTGTTGCATTGTCTGGCTCATGCATTCTTTACCCATAGGAAAATCTGTAGGGAGTTATAATCAAAGGTCTTTTTGCAAGCTTGAAATAAGAGAAAGGAAGTTGGATGATCTTAATGGCCAGTATCATCAAGCCATGCTAGCTTTTTGTGGCTCTCTCCAATCTAAGGATCTACTTTTACAAGGAAGCCATAATACATTGGTCAGAAGATTTCCACTAAATAGTGAAATAAATTAGTTGACTAATCTCTTTTTCTAGAATCCATGAGATCAGTCTCATTATGTTGATACTTTTTGTTTAGATATGTGTATACCTTTATTAGACTGTAGTTTTCTTTTTATATTCAGACAAGTTTAGATTTCTATTTATTTAGTAGGCACTGGGTGCCCTGAAGGTACCATGCTGAACACTGGGGATAGACACTCAAAGGCAGACTGAAAGGCAGTCACTTTAAACAAAATCTTTTTACACAACCATAAAGGCTGTAATCAAAGAATATATAATAATTTATAAGTAAGTTCAGAGGAGGGAGTGCTTAAATTATTTGTATGCTTTGGTTTGGGAGTCATATTCCTCCTATTAGAATGTCTGAAGGAGGGAAATTGTTTTCATCTCATGTCTATCTTGAGTGGTTTATCTTCAAGAAGGTAGTGTTCTCCTTTCCTGTGGAAGGATCTTGATGTGACTTGATGGGTACTGCTTCTGATGGCCGTATCTCATAGACCGGCTGGAAGCCAGAGTGATGACTAGAGCAAAGTTCCTAATGACTTTTTTGCATAATAGTTTAATAAAAGCTACTGAGAGTGGAGCATAGTAGTTCAGAATGCAGGTGCTGGAGTCAAGCAGATATGTGTTTGAATCTTGACTTACATGTTGCAAAATTTTGGGCAAATCTTCTGACTTCTTTAAAGCTCAGTTTCTTCAATAATAACCTGAAGATAATAAAGACTTTATAGGGTTATTATGAAAATTAAATGAGATAAAGCATGTGAAATACCTGTCACATTGTCTGCAGCGAATGGTGGTGGAATCCATGCCTTATGAGCCCCTCCCCACACCCAGGTGTAATATTTGTTCTCCATGGGTTCAAAGCTCCTTTCTTTGTGCTTCCATAGCAGGGCCTAATCTGTTCTCTCTTTTAATCCATAGTGGTTTAGATGTTCACTATGCAGTGACCTTCAATGGTGAGGCCATCGGCAATACCACCTGGGACCTAATTAGCCTTCATTCCAACAAGGTGGAAAACCATGGTCTTGTGGGACTGGATGATAAGCCCACTGCTGTTTATGCAATTAGTAACTTCAGAGATTATATTGCTGAGACACTGCACCAGAATTTTTTGTTGGGGAATTCCTCTTTGAATCCAGATCCTGACTCCCTCCGGCTTATCAATGGTGAGTTGATATCCATCATAAAGTCCTTGTATAGCTTTCGCTTCTTTTCCAATATACTCTGGTGAAAACTGATTTCCTTAAATATGTGTGGTTCTGAGCATTCTATAGACTGCATGAGACACAGCTCTTTTGGAGAGACCAATCAGGAGCTCTTAGGAATACTTGTAGACAAAAGGCCACAAAGAGAGGAGAAAGTAGAGAAGAGCATGAGATGTAGAAATAGTTTAGGGAAATAGGAAAATACAAGAAAAACAGAAATAGAACCTGTAAGTGTGAATTGAAACAGGTTATAGGGCTGCCCGAGCAACCAACACATTAATTCTCTACAGGCAAATCAACTGGTGTGACGACTTAAAAGCCAGAGAGCAGAAGATACAGAGTAGCTCAGGAAAGTTCAGGGAAGATCTTGGTGAAAGAAGAACTGATACTGGGTGATGGGGAGAATCCCAGAGAATTTAGTACTAAGTTTGAATTTAGATACCTGGAGAGAGCCAGTTATGATCTGAAATCGAGAGGTGGATCTGGGATCACCAGGGTGAGGTTGACTACTTTGGATTTAGAGGCTAAAGAGTGGCCTAGTTAATCTCATACTAAAGTTTGCTAAGAATCTGGTAACTAGTATTGCAACAGTTTAACTCATCAGGGACACGGTGTCCTGTTAAATTACTTGCTACTTCATGTTTCTTTCTTTATGATTTCTTCACTCAAGAGTAGTTAGCTTTTAAAATGTCCATGGAGTATATTTTATTGAAGTGATTGCATAGAAGTACCAGCTGCCAAAGAGGAAAATTCATGAATGATAGGCAATACTAACTATGATACATTTTATACCTTCTTCAATTCCTACGTTTTCTTAGGAGAAAAGATCCTGTATCTTTTCAGGCATTTATCATCTAGGCCTCTGTGTGTGTGTGTGTGTTTGTGCGTGTGTGTGTAAATAAACAAACACAAATAGACACAAGACAGAGAAAAGAGAGAAAAAAGGTTAAATAAAATTTTACTATGTATAACTCCTTCTTCCTAAGTAAGGTATTTTTTGAGAGCTGAACTAAAACTTTAAATTGTTTTTCAATTATTTTGGCTGCTAGAATGATGTTTCCTTAATATGACAGTGTGCTAGGTCAGGGTCATAAAGTAGCTTGGGCTTCATATAGGCTATACAGGACTTTAAAGTGGAGAAACTGTCTTTGTAGATGATAGTGACATTAGGCTATCAGTTCTAAAACACTAAGGAACCTTTGCATTTTGGAGCAGTGCAGGTACCTGGGCTTATTTTCTCATACACTCCTTTTTCATCATTCTATCTTGTTGGAATACCTGAGCTAGATAAAATAGTGAAAAGAGAAGAGGCTTGTTATAATCTGAAATTGCTGAATTCCTTTTGGCAAGGCTAGTATAGACTAGTTGAAGACTACCTATGGGGACAGCAAATAGGCAGAAGTTCCCAGGAATCTGGATATTGGGATCAGAAGAAAGATAGCGCTAGGAGGTCATGACCTGAAGGAGATTAGAACCTAAACTGAACAGAAGGTACAAACACCAAGGTTAATGATGAAAGTAGTGGAAGAATGACATGAAGATTAAGGTATACAGCAGGCCAAGTGAGATTGTGTAGGAAACTAAATCCAGCATAGCAAGGTCTTCCTTTTATGTGGAGCTTGGGAATAGAGATATCTCCTAGAAGATGTCCTAAAAAAGGAGTTCAACAACGGAGAATTTCTAAGAGAATTTAACAAACGCTTTAGGATATACAGTACAAACTAATTCAGGTGCTTTGATCTTTCATTAGATGAATGTTTCAGTTGTACAAAATTTCATCCCTAAAATCTATTTCTATTGTCACGCCAACTAAGAGTTCTGAATGGCTGCAGCTTTCTAGGTAACTTGGTCATCATTTTTTAAAGATATATCATCCTTGACCCATAGAAGACAACTGTAAACACAGTTGAAAAGAGTTTTGGGAAATACTTAAACCGAATAGGGTTTTTGGCTTCTGACTGATCCCTTTATGTCAGGCCAGTGGTAACAGGTGAATAAAGAGAGATTCTGCCTCCATTTTTGGTGCATACACCAGATCAAATTGTGGCAATCCTTTTTTTTTTCTTTAGCTTTTAAAGATTCCCTCTCCCCTTCAGGCAAAATCAATTTCTTCTTTGTATCCCATACATAGTATTACATGCCCTCACTTCAGTGTATAATTTGTGTTTATCTCTCTGACATAGGGGATACTTGCATAGGAGAAACTTGGCTTTATTAATGTTTATAGTCTCAGCTTTATCAAAGTCTGTGTAACTAGGTTTCAGTAAACCTTTGTTGAATTAAATTATGCAATCTACTGTCTTACCTCTATTGCTCTTTAATATTGGTATAATGATAAACTCTCTGGTGTCCTAGCCCACTTTTCACAGGTCCTTTCTGCCAAAAAGGAAATCATTTTGCATAATTTTCTCCATTCTTAGCATCAACCAAATGAGTTGGAATTTCAGCTTAACTTTTTTATTAAAGTGAAAAAAAATCAATTTAAAAACATCTTCACAGGAATCTTGAAAAGAGTAAATAATGCTTGCAAAAAGAAAAAGAAATTACATAGGAATGTTTTAAATGTAATAATGAGAAGAATATTTTATGTTGGAGTCTTGTAACTCAGATAGATTGTGTTAATATTGATGCAGGCAGGCTCGGTTCGAGGAGACCAGCCAAGAGAGGGTCCTGCAGGACAAGCCAAGAGGGTCCTTGACTATGCACAGGACAGAAATAAAACGCAAGCCTGCAGGAAGCGAGCAGAGTTATTGAAGATATATATATATTATTGAAGATATATATATATCTTCATATATATCTTCATATATATCTACATATATGAATGTAGAGAGAGAGAGAGAGGGCATGCAGATATAGATGATGTATCTGGGAGAGTTGGAAAAGGAAAGGAGAGAGTCTTGTCTTTGGGGTCTGGGGTTTTTACTGAGGGTTGTGGTCTGGTGTACATGTTGTCCTCTCAGGCATCCAGGAATCATTTAGAACAAGGACAGGTCCAGGTGTTCTTCATAAGTCACATTCCTTGGAGTCAGGGGGTCTTGGCATTGAGATGTCTAGTACTGGTGGTCTAGAACATGCATATGATGACCTCGTCTGGTCATTCTTGTGTGGTCCTTCCTTAGATGTTACCTTTTGTGCTGGAAGCCTCTAAAGAAATCATTAATTCCTTATCCCTCACAGGAGGACATACACTATTTGTTCTATAAGGCATGTGTAAAGTGAGGATGTAGGTCATAGTAAGAATAGAAGCAGGAAAAAGAGCAAGAAGCAAATTTTTATGGAGTCCTTCAGTTTCCCCCTCTCAATATAAGTAAACTCTCTGAATAAAGTAACAGATATTTTCTAAGCAAGTCTGCATTATCTGCTGTGCCAAGATCTAAACTATAAAATCTAAACTTATTTTTAGTTGTCCCTGAACCTCAAATACAATAGTGTCTCAACTAAAAATGTTTTCTATATTGTTCTTTCTTCAGTGAGAGGGGTTTTACTTCCTGAAACTGAAGACCTAGTTTGGAACACCCAAAGTTCAAGTCTTCAGGCAACCCTACCATCCATTTTGGTAAGTATGTTTCTATGTTTTATGCCTAGAATTAGGCCCTCAAACTTTCTTCTTTGTACACTCACCTGATTACTTTGGCATCATGAATTTCCTGAGCTGTTCCTGTTTCAAACATTTTCTTAAATCATCCTTGGAACATGATTCACAGTTGTCAGCTCCAGAGTCCCAAGTATTGGTTCAGAAAATTTAAGCCTTCTGCAGTGGTTAAATGAAGTCTACGGTGGTTAATTGCCAAGCTCCACATGTGGTATAAAACTTATTTATGGTTTATACTTGTTTGGTAATAATGAAGCTGTAAGTGCCCACTGAGTTGTTCTCTAAAAGTTACTCAGAAATAGTTTTTATAGCTAACACTATAAATTGAAGTACATAGAGACAGAGTATAGATTTGTGCTCCAAGGACTGTATTGAAGAAAAATGTTAGACTTTAAGGCATATACAATAGTGTGTGTGTGGAAGAGAAAGAGAAAGAAGTGAAAATAACAGCTAGCTGACAAATGACAGGGACTCAACATCAGGCATCCTTTTAACCTGGATTGAAAACATTCCTATTTGCACAGAAAGAGCATGGAATGAACTTTCCTTTTTGTTCTTACCACACAACTTCCCTAGGTGATCCTCTATCTGCTCCAGATCTTCGCTTGCCACTTCACCTATAGAGAGGCATCTAGTAGAAGATAAAGTGGCTTCCAGTGTAGTTGAAACAACACCATCACTGACAACTATACAACGACACCACCACCACCACTAGAGACTAGCTGGTTACAATGCATACATGAATCTTTTGTTATCCCATAGACACAGTAGGGGGGCTCCTTCTACATTCCCTACTCCTACTCTCTTGAGCTTTTTTCTGTCTCATATCAGCTTTTTAAAATATTTGTTTCTTGACTTTAATCCTTCAATGAACATTCATAACGTCTCCCCCAAATTCATTTAACCACTGATATATGCAGCCATTTCTTCTACTCAGCTATTGAGCAACTCAGTTTTGAAATGTGATGTCATTGGAAATAGTCTTTTTACTGAGTTCTGTGTTGGAGAAGGAAAGTTAGGGGTTATTGACATTAGAGATTGCATTATTTGGTGTTTATTTATTCATTCACTGACTCATTCATTCCAATATATTTATTTTGTGATTTTCATGTGCCAAGTGCTGGGGAAACTAAGATGAATAAGGGTGTGGGCTTGCCTACAAGAAGTTTTCAGTCTGGTGACAGATGTGTACACAAAGAAGGTGATGCTGTCATAGAAGTCCATTCAGGATGCAGTGGCAGACGATGGTGATTCACTGTGAACATGACATCACTAATCTCCATGCTTTCTAATCATGTTCATCTCAGGCTTCTCTAACCACAGACCTGTGATGATACTGAGAATGATGTTGTAAAGATAGGAGTTTCTAGATGAGCCAGACGTTTGCAAACTGGAGACCAGCCAGCTGGATCCAGCTATACGCATGTGCTTTGGGATCAGTTTTTTTACAAAGCCAATATTTAGCAATTAGGATATTTTTACAGAAAAATGAAGATTTCTAACCTCTTTTGAAAACCAGGGTGATCTGGTATCATTAGGTTCACATTCCCCTGTTGCAGAAAAGTGGCTAGGGTTTGGCTAAAAGGGGCTGCCCTTCGATGATGACAAGCACTGACTAACTGGGCTCAGATGTTTATTCATGATGCCTGTAATGTGGTTCCATTTGTGTCAAAGCCAACCCCTCGGGTTTTTGAGTAGTGATAACTGTGGGGCATTAAGTAACAATTTGAGGAGACAGTGGAATGTTAATAGATGATAATAAGGCATGAAAAAAAGGATGATTAATTAGAAGTGTGTGGTTATTGGTTTTCCTCCCTCTTTTTTTGGGCAACTGTTAACAAGATTTTGTTCTTTCATAGAAATGAGATTTAAAATATTTTTTTTTACAGATTTGATTTTTAGAAATTATTTTAGAGGTAGGATGTTGGGATACTGAATTTGACACCTTTTGGCATCCTGACTTGGAAAATCACATGTTGCACAGTATGCTTTCTATAGCACTAGCAAGCTTTTCATTTGGCATACCCAGAAGTGAAACTGGCCGGTATAAGTTAATATACTACATTGAACTAAAAGAAGAATTCTTGAGTTGAATTTGTTACTATGGGAACATCTATTCCTATGAAAGTAAATGAAGTGCTATTACTGGCATGTATATGTCATACCTTTCACAATGTATGACAAAGTTTTATTGCCAAGCCATTTTTTAGGGGGTGCTTATTTGGAGTAGATTAGATGGTCATCCTTATTTAAAAAGTCAAATTGTTTCCTTTCACTTTTTATGTGGTCTACTTGAGACTTGACTTTCATCAAAGATGTTATGTATTGTTTTACTTTTAATTTTTATGGAATGGAAAGGCATTTTATTTGTATATACTGAAATTGTCTATATTGTTTAGGGATTTCTTTTTCATTGAGGGTTGATCTGCTTTCCTAATGTGTGTCTGGTCACAGGAACTGTCTGATAAAACTCAGTTTTTTCAGTATGGGATAAAGGGCTTAAGCCATTTCACTTTTTTTACTTTAAAAAATTTTTAAATGTTTATTTATTTTTGAGAAAGAAAGAGTGTGAGTGGGGGGGGCGGGGGTTGCAGACAGAGAGGGAGATGCAGAATCCAAAGCAGGCTCCAGGCTCTGAGCTATCAGTACAGAGCCTGATGCGGGGCTCGAACTTGTGAACCACAAGATCATGACCTGAGCCGAGTTGGATGCTTAAGTGTCTGAGCCACCCAGGCACCCCAGTAGTTGTATTTTTAATTTTTAGGAACCTCTGTATTATTGTCCATAATAGCTATGCCAGTTTATATTCCTACCAATGTGGTAGACATTTGTATGTATCTCTCAGTGAACAGTCTGGAATAGTGGGGAAAGTATGGGGACTGAGAACTCTGGAAACTCAGGAGTGTAATTCTGAATCTTTCCTCTATTTTCTGTGATTGTGGGCATTTCATTTCTATGAACCTCAGTTTCTTTAATAGGCAAGGTTAGACTACACTTGATAGGATGGTATATGATTCTTCTAATTTGCTCTTGAATTCAGTTTGCTAATATTTTGTTGGCAATTTTTGCATCATATTCATCAGGGATATATATTTTTTGTAGTATCTTTGTATGGTTTTGGTATCAGGGTAATGCTGGCCTTGTAAAATATGTTTGGGAGTGTTCACTCCGGTTTCATTTTTGGGAAGGATTTGAGAAGGGCTGGCATTAATTTTTCTTTAAGTGTTTGGTAGAATTACCAGTGAAACCATCTGGTCCTATATATGTTTGTTAGGTCCATTTGGTCTAAAGTATAGTTCAAGTACATCATTTTTTATTGATTATTTTCCTCTGGATTATCTAGCCAGTATTAAAAATGGGGATTTTGCTGTCCCCTATTATTTTTTAATTTATATTTTAGTTGACATACAGTGCAAAATTGGTTTTAAGAGTAGAATTCAGTGATTCATCATTTACATACAGCACCCAGTGCTCATCACAACAAGTGCCCTCCTTAATACCCATCACCCATCTAGCCCATCTCCCACCCACTCCCTCCATCAATTCTCAGTTTGTTCTCTGTCATTAAGAGTCTCTTGTTTGTTTCCCTCTGTCCTCTTCTCACGCCACCCATATGTTCATCTGTTTTGTTTCTTAAATTCCACATATTAGTGAAATCATATGGTGTTTGTCTTTCTCTTATTGACTTACTTCCCTTAGCATAATAAATTCTAGGGTGGACATTTGGGCTCTCTCCATAGTTTGGCTATTGTTGATAATGCTGCTATAAACATTGGGTGCATGTGCCCCTTTGAGCCAGCATGTTTGTATCCTTTGGGTACATACCTAATGGTGCAATGCTGGATCATAGGGTAGTTCTATTTTTAGTTCCTTCAGGAAGCTCCATACTGTTCTCTAGAGTGGCTGCACCAGTTTGCATTCCCACCAACAGGTCCCCTTTTCTCTGTATCCTCATCGACACCTGTTGTTTACTGTGTTGTTAATTTTAGCCATTCTGACAGGTGTGAGATGGTATCTCATTGTGTTTTTGATTTGTATTTCCCTGATAATAAGTGAGGAAATCCCCTATTATAATATTGTTATATACCTCTCCCTTCAGATCTGTTAATATTTGCTTTATATATACCAGTGCCTCAATGTTGGGTGCCATTATATCTATAATTGTTATATCCTCTTGATGAATTAACATCTTTATTATTATATAATGATCTTATTGGTCTCTTGTTACAGTTTTTGATTTAAAGTCTATTTTGTCTGATATAAGTATAGCTATGCCTGCTTTCTTTGGTTTTCTATTTGTATGGAATATCTTTTCTTATCCCTTCACTTTGAGCCTTTATGTATATTTAACTGAAGTGAGTCTGTTGTGGTCAGAGTAGAGTAGGGTCTTGTTTCTTATACATTTAGCCACTTTTCGCCCTTTGAATGGGGAATTTAGTCCATTTACATTCAGAGTAACTTGATGAGTAAGTACTTATTTCTACCTTGTTAGTGTTTTCTGGCCCTTTTGTAATTCCCTTCTTTCTTTGTTTCTGTCTTGGTGTCTTCCTCTGTGAATTCATTGTTTTCCATAGTGGTAAGCTGTGATTCTCTCTTGTTTTTCTTTTGTGTATCTACTGTAGGTTTTTGCTTTATGGTGACCATAAGGCTTACATAGAACATCTTAGAGATATAGAAGTCTATTTTTATGTTAGTAACTTAACTTTCATGGCATACAAAAACTCTACCCTTTTACTCCCCTCTACTTTTGGTTTTTGATGTTACAATTTAATTCTTTTTATATTGTATTCATTAACAAATTATTATGGCTATAGTTATTTTTAATACTTTTGTCTTTTAACTTTTTTACTATAGTTCAGTGGTTAACACACAATATTACCTACATTACAGTATTTTATTATATACTACTTTACCAGTATGTTGTGTATTTTCATATGTTTTCATGTTACTAATTGGCATCCTTT